AAGTGGTCTTCGCTTCGTACCTTCTTCCGAAGGGTTGCCTCCTCCCTACTTTCTAGCATCTCCTTGACTTTCGTCTTGAACCCCCCGAACCCTTCCGTGTCCAACGTCTCCTCCTCGTCTCCTATCTCCTTCCAAACCTTCTCTACCACCTTGTCCCATCTGATTCCCTTCTTCCCTGGAGTCGCTTTTCCCCAAGCTGCCTTGTCAACCATGGCTGGTAGTCTATCGTCCGACATTCTACTTACCTTGTACTGCCAATTCAACTTCTGCATGTCTCTCATTGTTTTAAGAGAGTACATTCCCAATTCTGCTCTCAATACAGTGTTGCTCGTTGTACTTGAACATCTGCACCGTTTCCAGCTGCTTGACGGCCTTTTCGTTACTTTCCCATACCTCTCCTGCATACTCTAGCTTAGGTACAATCACATTCAAGAGAATACACCTCTTAATCCTAGTGTCTAGGTGTGGGTCCGTAAGGATCTCGTCCATCTTGCCTATCTGAGCTTTACCCTTGCCAATCAACTTCGCTATGTGTGCGTCCCATGAGCACTCCTTCGAAATCTCTACTCCCAGGTACGTATACTTGTCTAATACCTGTAGTTCTTCCTCCCCCCATTTCCATTTGAATTCTACGGGATTTTTCTTGTCTTCGTTACAGACCACTACTGCGCATTTTCCTACGTTCGCCGACAGTCTCCATTTTCGGGTGTATCCTACCGCCGCGTCTATTTGTTCTTGCAACCCTTCTGGTGTTTCGGATACCCCCACGAAATCATCTGCAAACATCAGTCCGGACACACTCTTTCCCCCTACTTGGACTCCCTGTCTTACTGCTTCAACCGCCCTTATCAAATCGTTGATGTAAATCTAAAAAAGAGTGGGTGACACCGTACAGCCCTGTGCGACTCCTTGGAGTATATCCACGTATTTCGGAATTTCCCCATCCAACATCACCGCACTTCTTGTGCATTCTGTCATCTTTTTCAACATCCTCCACATTTCCCCCCGGATCCCGATGTCCCACATCTTTTTCCACAATCCATTGCGCCATACGGTGTCGTAGGCTTTTTGTACATCTAAGAAGAAACAGTATGTCGTACGCCCGGCATCTTTCCTACCTTGGATAATTTTACTCAACGTATATACATGGTCTACACAACTACGATCTGGTCTAAATCCAGCTTGTCCTTCGCTGATCTTTTGTTTCCCCTCCTGGGGGGGGGGGGGGGGGGGG